ACATTTGTTTTTTATTCACATCAACTCGTACGACAACTGTAGTGAATCAGTACCAAATAGTGTCAAACTCTTTGTCTTCATACTCCTGATATATATATTAATATATATATATATATATATATATATATTGTAAGTGAGAAAATCTCATACTTTCTCGAAATATAATTGGTGCGAAGAGTATGAATTACAAAGATCGGCACTTCTTTTATAAGCACAACGAGATAGCTTAGGAAACTAGCTGAGGGATCGGAAAGACAGATCACAGTATTACTAGGAGTTGTCCAACAACGTTTTTAAAACAACGACTGAGAAGTCGCTGAAAGTAACAACTTAGGCATCTGAAAGTCGCCTTGCAAACTTACTACTGCAAGCCTGGCACTGACAAACAACCTTTTGACCGATGGCTGATGGCCTGGATGGGTTTCGCGCCACTAGATGGTATGGGATAGGTTTAAAGGGAGAGTTTACTCTAGGTTCTAGGGTTATTTTCAGCTAATTTAGCGTTATAATTACGCTACATAAAAAGTATTCATAGTTGCAATCACCATTAGAAATATCTGTTGTTTAAAGTGTTTAAAATAACGACTACAGTTTGATTAACAACGACCGGGTGCGCCATCCAACGCACGATCTGATAAGTTGGCGAAACCACTTTCCAACCAAGGCTACAGACCGAGGGTGTTTCTATATTTATTTGCATTTAAAACAAAGACTATTGTAATATCTTATAAACGACATATAGCTTTCAGTATATGGATGAAATTTGCCCTAAAATGAATATTTTCGGTTAATATAGGCATTGGTATAATATATATTGACAGCTTTGTGATTACCTCGCAGTCTGTAATGCTGCAAAATTAATATGTCAAATACGCAACTTTTCGCGCGTGCAGTCACAGGTCGCGGCCGTCGTGTCATGGCCCCGTTCAAATTTCGTAGCGTTATGATGTGTAATTAATTATAACAATTAAAATTAGGTATCTGGTAACAAATACGTGTGGGTATAGACGATTTTGTTCATATCAGTAAGTCACTAGTTGTATGCAGAAAAATCCTAGAGCTACTGTCACTTTAAATAGAATGGCTAGAAATAGGTGGCTATCGATGGCATTGGTGACGTAGGGACTTCACGGGCGCTAACTGGTTTGCTGTATAAAATAGAGTCACGCTTCTTCGGGAGATTTTAGCTGACTGTGTTAGAGAATTGTAAGTACGTGATACAGGTCTTATCTCTTATTTCGTTTCTAATTTGTCAAGTAGTGCCACTGACAGAGACTCTTATAATCATTCGTTTCCTGTTATTTCTTGTCTTTGTATTTTTTCTAGTTTCTTAGTTCTTTTACATGGCATATAATATATATATATATATATATATATATATTGTTGTACATGCTAATTTCGCACTACGCACAGTAGTCATCATGTAGAAGAGCTATAGAGAGCATATAAAGACAATAAATAACAGAAAACGAATGATAGATTATATATATAATTATATATATATATAGGAGTTAATGAAGACAAAGGAGTTTGACACGTATTTGGTACTGATTTCACTACATTTTGTCGTACGAGTTTGATGTGAATAAAAATACAAATGTATAGAAACACGAGCTTCTTTTGTTCACTGGTCCTTATTCTTGCTTCCAGTAGTATTACAAACCGCGTAGCTTCCTTCGTTTTGACATAAATCGTACTTTTGCACGACATGGTTTTCACGTTATTTACCGTCGTGTGGCGTTGCCAAGCCGCAAATTCTCATGCAGAGCAACTCGAAGGAGACGCGACAGGGAATTTAGGCCGAATAGTCTAGCCGAGTGCAGAAAATGCGCTTAGAAATTAAGTTTCGTTGTGCCCAAGCTGGGTTTAAGAATTAAAACTATTTTACATTTAAACTATAGTTAGAATGCCTTGTTTTTAGCTCGTCTGACGAAGTCAGATGCAGCTTGTAGAATCACATGATTGTCCGTCCGTCCGTCCGTCCGTGCGTCAACAGTTGGGCACTGTAACGTCTATTTCTTACGTAACATCAACGCGCATTCCTGTTTACAGCACAAATCTTAACCGCTCGACGTACTGTCACGATATTAGGGGGGGGGGGTTGATCGTGAAAAGGACTCAGGATGACAAATTTGGGGTCAAGGGTCAAAGGTCAAGATGTGTGAACAGAGGGGGAATATTTCCCCCGTAACTCAAGCTATAGGAGGAAATACGGAATTGCGGCAAAAATCTCAATGGCTTGACCTACGCTCTTAATATTCAATGTATAGTGTGATGGGGAGGAAACCCATCACCAGCACGAAATTGGAGGTCACAGGTCAAAGGGCAGTGGGGGAAAGGTCAGATATCAGACATTTTCTGAGGACACGGGCTAATGGACAGAGTGAAAAACTTTTTTGTTTCAGCGCTGACCTACCATTTTTATCACTTTATTGAAAGGACCATGAAATGTGCTTTCCACTGACGTGCGAAGAGTAAGTGTCTGATAACCTTTTGACCCTCAAGAGGAGGGTTAAAGATGGATTCCTGAACTGCCTCAATGATGTCACAGTGTTCTCACATTCATGGCACATCCATAATCTGGAAAGCCAATAAGACTGGATAGCCCAACGGCTACAGCACAGGGTTACAGCTCAAAGGTCCTTGGATCGAATCCCATCAGATTTTTTATTATTTACCTGTTTTCTGTATTTTTCTATCTATCCATTTAACTATTTCTTTCCAATGAACTCAAATATTTACATGATTTATTTACAACAATTTCATAACAACAAATAATTTTTACAACATTTTTTTTTTTAATAGGGTTAGGGTTAGGGTCACAATGCACCATAAAACGAGAGTTTCAGGCACGCGATTTGTATCAACCAATGGGATTTGGGAGGTATGCAGAATGTAGAAGGTTGCTGAAATGATGTGTACACAACTGCGTATCTGCATATCTGCACCTAACAAAGGTGCAAACAACTCTGCACGACTTAAATGTTACGTTTATAACCGTAGAAACAGACCTCAGATGAGCCCAGACGCTCTGTGGCTCTTATTATGGTTAAATCCAGCAGTTGAAAAATAAATAAATGCTGCGCTGGTAAAATATCTGAACTACCTCACCCACGGAGGAATGATGTGTATGAATCTTAGCGAGTAAATTGACGCTCCAGCTGATTGTAGCTTTTCGCACATGTGTCTTGCATTACAACCGTTACTATGCAATTGCAGGCAAACGCATGTGTTTACATCTTACTTATCATCACCAATAGTATGTGATAAAGGCGAGAGTTAACGTTGTCATCACCCGGCTTTGTTAGCCGAACAAAAACTTCTTTGCAAGATAACGTACGGGAGACACGATCCCTGCCGCGCCTCCTTTGAGTTGCTGTGCATGAGAATTTGTGGCTTGGCAATGCCACACGACGGTAAATAACGTGAAAACCATGTCGTGCAAAAGTATGATTTATGTCAAAACGAAGAAAGCTACGCGGTTTGTAATACTACCGGAAGATAGAATAAAGGACCAGTGAACAAAAGAAGCTCATGTTTGTATACATTTGTATTTTTATTCACATCGAACTCGTACGACAAAAATGTAGTGAAATCAGTACCAAATACGTGTCAAACTTCTTTGTCTTCATTAACTCCTGATATATATATATATATATATATATATATATATATATATATATATATATATATATCAAGAGTACATAATGGGAGAAGAGTATGACATAGTTTTAACAGCGTTTTGCGTAGTTTTCAACTTGAATTTATTCTATCAATATGTGAATAAATATATTCAAACTTTACCTTGTTTTCGTCTCGGATTCTCTCTTAATCATATGACACCACCAGTTTACCTGAAAATCGTATGTGTTCTTCAAAAAAGTTTTTTGAATACGACATGATTTCACACAGTTTTCCTAAACGTTTGCAACTTTTCGGCCAATGTTGATATGCGGCGGCAGCAACAGGTTGTAACTACGGGACGCTGGGGACTGTTGGGGATATTAGGTAAGCACAGTAACAGCACTTGTTTCACTTCCTTATCATCAGGAACATGATGGCAACACCGCTAAAATCAGCTGCTTGCTCGCCGTGAGCACACATTTCTTTCCAGCACGCTAGAAACGCGTTACACACTGAATACCCCCCAGAATCCCGTTACAGACAATAGAACACTAATTCGATAACAAACATTGACCGAATAAATGCAAACGTTTGGGAAAACTGTGTGAAACCGTGTCGTATTCAAATAACTTTTTTGAAGAACACATGATTTTCAGGTAAACTGGTGGTGTCATATGATTAAGGGAGAATCCGAGACGAAAACAAGGTAAAGTTTGAATATATTTATTCACATATTGATAGAATAAATTCAAGATGAAAACTACGCAAAACGCTGTTAAGACAGTGTCATACTCTTCTCTGATTATGTACTCTTGATATATTATGTATATATAACATACCTACACAGGGGTCGAATTAGCCGCTAGCCCGCTAGCCCGGGACTAGTAATTGTTTGGAAGGGTAGTTAAAGGCCAGGCTGGCTTGCCCGTCGGGCAAGTAAACAATTCCAGACCAGATTTCGTAATTCCGCCCGTTTTCGGATATATCAGTGTATGATTAATGGGAATTTAATTGCGGTTTGTGAGCATGCATTCAAATTCAGTCTACAATACCCTCAGAAAGCATCTCGGAGCATTTGTGAGATCAACAATTTTCCCACGCAACCACTATCGACATCATGCTTTTAAGGGCTAGTTGAAAACCAGAAGGGCTAGTACAAACCTTACCTTACTATAGCCCTTCGGGCTAACTTGCATATTGTCCTTATTTCTACCCCTGCATACATATATATATATATATATATATACAGATAGGTTCGGTTTTACGATGGTCCATTTTACGACTTTTCACATTAACGACCTTTTCAAAATTACCTAAAAAAAATTTAATAAAAAAAATCGCAATTCAATAACGCACCAACGCATGTGAGTCCAAACACGCAATAAGCGCTTCTTTTGTTTTTCGTGGTGCATTGTGGCTGGAATGATAGCATTTAATTGCATTATAATTTGCTCTTGTTTTACGACCTTTCATTTTACGACCCTGCTTTACTGGAACCTAACCCTGTCTTAAAAAGGGACCTACATGTATACATTTATAGTTTAATTTATAATTAGTCACCATACTCAGCAGAATCCCCTCTTTTTGTATTGCCTGTTCATTTGTTGAAGAAGAGGAACTGGTGTGTATAATTCTGTATAGTTCTGTATAGTTCTGGTGTATGTAATAAATGTGAAATCTGAGCTTTCAACATTTGTACTTATATCTAAATGTATTTTTTTCTTACTCATGGGCATTTTGCACTTGTTCACAGTTGGTGTCCTAGAAGTCGTGTATATGAAGAAGGCTGCCGAGGACCAGGTTACCCTAGCAAAAAAGTTTCAGCTGCCAGAAAACTTCTATCTTTATGAGGTGTCACCTGTTTGCTCAGGCTGTCGTGGATGTGATTCTGCAGACTTAAAGGCTAGAAGAATTTCATTGTCTACAGCGCAAGAAGATGATGCAGGTGAATAGCACTGAAATACCTACATGAAAGTAAACATAGTGCTGAATAGTACATTGGCTGTGTATCTACACATGGAAACCTATCCTTTGTGAAGCAATACAAGAAATGTAATATCTGTATGATCATAAACATAGTATAAGAATTGTGAATCAAAGCAGCAGGATAGGCAAGGCTTAATTATTAGAATTCTACGTTACGTAACCCTTATCTCTCTATGAGTTCTGCCATTAACGTCTACAAGTATGCACTTAAGAGCTACCTCAAATGTTCAATTATGAACGTGAGAAGTTGGTTCATACGCATATATTCATATACATTCACAATTTAGAGATACCGACCTATCGTGCAGTTTTCCAGAATATAGAATTTAATATTTTTAGCAGTAGACAGCTATCATTTCCAAGTCATTTGTTGGGATATCAGAAAGGGTATTGAGGTTCAGATTGTGGGGTTCTCCACACCACGTAAATCCAGCCAACCTCTATCAGCTGCCTACTGCTATTAGGCTAATGTGTAAACTATGTCCAAAAACAACATAAGCACAAACTGCTGCTACTAACGAAACGTACTGTACCCTTACTTTACTTGTTTTTCTGCTCATCCCATATTTTCCTTCACACAGGGGCACATAGGCAAACCAACCAAATGTTCCATTTAGCTTCCCCCATTGAGGTTGATTGCTCCCAAGCCTTAATTTAAAATTCTTCTGTCTGAGAAACCCTATACCTATAATAATATATGCAAGCATGTTCACACACTGTGGTGCACACACCACTATTACCTTACCAGTACTTTTCTGAAAAACTATAACAATAAATTTCTATTCTCCTATCTCTTGTCAATGTTGCTCATTCAATCTGAACAGAGATATATGATAAGAAGACTTAAACAATGAACAACGGTAACAGAATTTAGACTTAAATGTTCCCAAACATAAATGGGCATCTAGCTGACCCAATCGACTGCACTCTATACTATACGACTTTACTGAAAGAGCATGCAAACATGTGCATAACTAAAAAAAATCACTGTACACAGCGAATATAATAATTCTCTTTCACCAGATTGATAAATAATCTAACGTGCAAAGCCTGTAAAATTCGCACTGACCACGTTGATAAAACTAAATTCTTTCCACCAATTTTCCACATACCACATAATTCGTTTACAGTGTAGTCTAACTATTTGGGGTTGACAAAGTGGAGACAAAATCTAAATGGCGCAAAAATGGCCAACTTAACACTTGTATAGTTGTAATGATTGAATGGTGACACATCCTATATCAAATTCTCGCCTCCGCGCGTGTACACATTTGTAAAACCTAAAAACCTATGATGAATGAGGCAATTGTCATATGAGTTATTGAAAATTTCGCAGTGGCTGCATGTACTGCAGTAATAGAGTGAACACCAAGTTTAACTTTTGCCGTACTGTAACTGTCTAAATCATAAGAGATTCCAGAACATTGATTTTTGTTATAAAGTTGGATGACTACCTGTATTCATGTCATTGTTATGGTACATTCATGGGTCTATACACATTGCCTTTGTAGGCTGCCAAGCTTCTAGGGAGAATGATCCTGGCCAGTCAGAATCAGAGGGCATCCTAGTTCGAGCAGGGAAGATGCAGATGCAATCGGATATATCAAGCACCACCAAAGGTTATTAATGGAGTAGTGTTGATATGAAAAATCTATTCAATAATTATTAGCAAATGTGTTCAATCAATCGTCATTACATGCTTTGGCCAATTGCATCAAGAATATCTATGGTATCTTGGTTGTGTGTGTGTGTGTATATATATATATATTTATTTATATATACTAGCGGGATACCCGGCGTTGCCCGGGGAAATCGGTGGCGTTACTCAGTTGGTGACCGCTTGGTTGAAAAGAAAATACCCAAAAAAATCTTTAACTTTTGACAAAGCAGGTAATTTGACAATGAATAGCAGGTAACTGTTTTTCCGGCACAGACGGTAGGGCGAGCGGCGAAGGCGCGAATCCCTGCTAGGGGGGTCCGGTTTCTGATTTGACCCACAAATAGCCTATTTTGATGGGTATGGGTTCTAGAATTTGGTAGTTTAGATATTAGGTTTTTGCTATTAAGTATCTAGTATAAAAAGAAAAATCATAAATGTCAAGTAAAAGTCCAGGTAACAGTGTATTTCCTCTTTATTTTAGTAGTATCTGCCAAGTTGAGAATTCAATTATCACTGCATTTTTATAATCTGAGTCCACATTATAATATAATGAAACTTCCGCTTGTCTGTGTGTCCGCACGAGGGTAAACAAACTCGCCGGCGACCCGCCCGTGCACAGAGTTAGTCTTGGGTTGGAAGTATTTAAAATAAACTTCGTTTTTTCAAATATGGATTAAATATTTTACCGCCTTTAGTGGGAGTTTCTCTCAAATTGATAGCCGGTAACAAATTGCGCGATAGGCGGTAAAAATAACCGGTTACCGGCTGGCTATTAACAAGAACCCTGTATCTATCTATCCATGCATCTATCCATGCATCCATCCATCCATCCCATTCCATGCCATCCCATCCCATCCTGGATATCCCATCCCATCCCATCCCATCTCATCTCATCGCATCGCATGACATCCCATGCCATCCCATCCCATGCCATGCCATCCCATCACATCCCATATCCCATCCCATGCCATCGCAATGATCGCATGCCATCCCATCCCATCCCATCCCATCCCAAACAGTAAAAAATAATAAGAAATCAAAAGATAAAAGACATTAAAAATAAAAATGATTAATACATTGAAAAAATATTAAATTAAATAAATTAATGAATTAAAAATTAAAAATAATACATACTAAAGAGGTAGGTAAAGGGGAAAAAGGAAAAACAGGGGCAAATAAGTTCCCCAGCTGGGACTCGAACCCGGAATCCCGGTGTAGGAGACGAATGTTCTAGCGATTACGCCACTGCGCCGTTAAGGGTATACACCATGGATTCACACGTACGTGATGTTAATCTGTACGCACCGCCTGATGTTAATCTGTAAGCACCAATTGATGAATAGAATTTGTATCAATTTTTAACTTTTTAAATTTTTTTTTCGTCTATGAACACTCCCCGGGTATAGGAATTCGCCCTCTGAAAATTGCATCCAGATCACTTGGGCGGTTTGGCCGGGCATAGGGGACATATATACGTACATACATACATACAAACTGAAATATAGATTATAATATATATATATATATATATATATATATATACATTGTGTGGCCGTATATGTATCTCATTTTAGTTAATATCATGTTAGGTAGGTTTAAAGGTTTTTATGTGCACAGGTGATATAGTTTTGGCAGAACAACTGACAGATGAGGTGCCTGAGTTAGGCTTGTGTGGATCGGCCACTTCCTTTGCCGAACTAGCAAATGTTGCTGATCAGGAACCTGCATTGGTCTGCAAGAGAGGTATACTCATTATAAGATGTTTTGGATTGCTTGTATAGACAAAACTGTACAGATTTGAAATTTAAGATGAATACTGGTTGTTTCCCATGTTTTATAATTTCACTTGGCTAGTTTCTTGACATGAAAAAATAATTGGTGCAATCTTAACAATGAGTAGTTATAATGAGCAACCTGTATCAACATACAGTAGCCTTATTAGCCTTTTTTGCCTTGTCTCAAAAGACGGCACTGAGCATCGTTGCTTTCCGACTTGCATATCCTTGATTTACTTGGTCAGGATTTTGTGGGGTTAAAGAAGCCTGACTACATTTAATGTGGTGTTAGAAATGGGAGGGGGTGTAATAGGACCCAATACTCCATGGCGCCTAAGTCAGAAGGTGCACTTGTAACTTGTTGGTGCAGTAACTTAGTGCACTAACAAGTTGCAAGTGCACCCATTCTGCACCTAATTGAAACAGGGGCATCTGATTCTGTGTAGTTGACTCCGTTTCTATTTATAAATTGGCCGATAGCTAGCGCTATCACGCGATAGTCCGAGATTCGCAAGAAATGGTGGCGGTAATCAAACCGAATAATCAAAATTTGAATTGTGCAGGTTTCTGGAGAATATAGCTATATTAGAGAGGTTCTAAGACATTTATCATTTGATATGCAAGGTCACTACACTGAGTTTAATTATTAAAGTCTCTGTCGTATTTGTCCTCTATTGAACGTATGACTGACATGCTGGTGTGAATGTTTAAGGTTACATAATATTCTGTCGTGAAATATCTTAATGGGTTGATGTTTCACATTGCCCACCCATGTAAGGTTCTAATCTTACTTAAAGCAAATTGTCATACTGTTTCGATTTCTGTACAGAATATTGAGTATCAGCTACTTATCAAAGCAATAGGCTTGCTGTTCCCGAAATGTGTTTCTTCTTCAATTACAAAGAATAATCTTCCATGCAGGTTCTGACATGCCATTCCGTTTCGCGGGGGCTGGCCAGTCTGTCTTCGGCAGTATTCTTGACACGAGTGGTGAAGACAGTGGAACTAGTGTTTCGTCAAGTCACAATATTCACTTCGAGTCGACCGAACATCTGCCTGACCTGATCGAGTTGAAGACTGGAGAAGAGGACGAGGAGAGGATCTTCTCAAACAGGGGAAAGCTTTACAGGTAGAATTAATTTGTTCCAGCAGTAGGTAGTGATGTAAATATTCCAGCTGCTGCTCCTACTGCTGCTGGTGGCGATGGTCATGGGTTTGGTGTCTGTTGGTGGTGTTTGCAGGCTTCCGTAGTATTTAGACTTTGTAAACAACCACTCTGAATCAGAATATGTAGCATCCATGACATTCTATTAGTGCTGCCACCTCTACACACAATTGTTCTAACTCTACACTAGCATACTACTACACACATACTAGTGTAGTACACTAGTAGTAGGAACTAGGCAATTAGACACAACATACAGTCGTGTGTATATATATATATATGGTATCAGGACAAATACCCCCCGGACAATCATCCCCCGGACAATTACACCCCGGACATTTACCCCCATGCCATTCACTCCCGGACAATTACCCTCTGGACAATCACCCCCTGGACAATTACCCCCCGGACAATCACCCCCTGGACAGTTACCCCCCGGACAATTACCCCCCGGACATTTACCCCTCGGACTTTTACCCCCGGACAATTACCCCCCAGACATTTACCCTCCGGACAATCACCCCCCTGGACAATCATTCCTCAGACAATTACCCCCAGACATTTACCCTCCGGACATTTACCCCCGGACAATTACTCACTTGGTGTTTATTATTCATTGTTGAACAGTGATACAGGGAGGAGGTCGAGGAGGGAAGAAGGTGGTGAGAAGGTGGTGGAGGAGG